GGGGGGTTCTTGGCGCAGAACTCAGCAGGAAGCGCAGCGCGGTAGCGAGTGTCACTAGTGCGAAGGTGCGTAATGAGGTCAGCGACTGTGGGAAAGGCAGCGAGGTTAGGGAACAGGTACGGCAGTATGAGGCGGCTAAGCGCAGCAGTGGCAGGGGAAGAGTAGCGTGCAACTACAGCGTCGTACAAGGTCTTAGCACTCTTGTACTGACTAAAATGCGCACGCTCAGCGGTCGGTAAGTGGCGACGCACAGCAAGACGGGCAGCAGCATCGCGTGTGGCCCATTGTGAGCGAACAGTGCTGTCAGCATCAGCAGGCGGGGCAGGAGAGGCACCAGACGTGAGATCGAACAGGGAGAGACCGTCTGCCCTATCGCACTGTAGGAAAAGCTGCAGGTCAACGACCCAGACCTCAAAGTCAACAGCCCGACCCTCAGCATCAAAGGTAAGGACATTGGGGGTAGCCATGACAGCAGCAGTCTAGCGGTGAGAGCGGCGGGCTAGGGGCAGCGCAGTGGCAGAGGCGCTGCTCGGGAATGCTCTCACCAGTCCGGGTGGGGAGGGCCGGGGCGCGCCGGCAGGAACAGGGCCGCAACTGCGGCGGCTGCTGCTCGACAGTGGCAGCAGCGGCTCGGCGGCTCGGCGGCGGCTCAGCGGCGGCTCGGCGGCTCGGCGGCGGCTCGGCGTCTCGGCGGCGGCTCGGCGTCTCGGCGGCGGCTTGGCGGCTCGGCGGCGGCTCGGCGGCGGCTCGGCGGCTCGGCAGCGGCTCGGCGGCGGCTCGGCGGCGGCTCGGCCGTGGCTCAGCGGCGGCTTGGCGGCTCGGCTGCAGCGGCGGCGGCTCAGCGACGGCGGCGGCAGGGCCAGGGCAGGAGCCACAAAAGGGGCCAAGAGGAGGCCGCAAAGAGCGGCAACGGGGCCGCAAAGGGCGGCGACGGGGCCGCTGTAGGGCGTCGACGGGGCCGCAGAGGGCGGCGACGGGGCCGCTGGAGGGCGGCGACGGGGCCGCTGGAGGGTGGCGGCGGGGCCGCTAGAGGGCGGCGACGAGGCCGCGGTAGGGCAGCGACGGGGCCGCTGGAGGGCGGCGGCGGGGCTGCTAGAGGGCGGCGACGGGGCCGCTGTAGGGCGGCGACGGGGCCGCAACGGGCGGCGACAGGGCCGCTGGAGGGCGGCGACGGGGCCGCTGGAGGGCGGCGACGGGGCCGCTAGAGGGCGGCGACGGGGCCGACAGAGGGCGGCGGCAGAGCCGCGAAGGGCGGCGACGGGGCCGCTAGAGGGCGGCGACGGGGCCGCGAAGGGCGGCGACGCGGCCGCGAAGGGCGGCAGCTGGGCCGCGAAGGCGGCGACGGGGCCGCGAGAGGGCGGCCGGGTCGCAAGGGGCGGCGACGGGGCCGCCAAGGGCGGCTACGGGGCCGTGTAGGGTGGGGCCGCTAGGGGCCGCTAAGGGCGGCGACGGGGCCGTGAGGGGCCGTGAGAGGGGCCGCTAAGGGCGGCGCGACGGGCCGCTAAGGGGAGGGCGGCCTACAGGGCGCGCCTCGGTCAGGGGCGACTCGATCTCAGGGCAGGAAAAAAAAAATTACTCGATTTTCAGTGGTGGGCCCTAGGAAAAGTTCCCACTAGGGAACCTGCTCTATACCATGTGAAGAAATGAGGAATGGAATGATGAACTAGGAAATGAGTTGGGTACAAATATGAAACCCTAGAAAGTTGTACCCCATACTGTCTACCCCACTACAGCCTAGAAAGACTATAGTATATAAGTTCGACAGTATCGATTATTGAAAGGCGACGATTACATCCTGCTCATCGTCTACGTGGACGACCTACTCTACATTGGCTCGACCGACAACATCACCACCTAGTTCGAAGGGGAGTTAAAGCAAGACCTCACCCTCACGGTTTCGACTACCGTCACGCAGTACCTCGGCCTCAACATTCAGGAGGAAGAAAACGCGATCTACCTCAGCGCCTCGAAATACACCGACACCATCGCCAAACGCTTCGGATTCACCCCAACCGCCATCTCCACGCCATACCGCTACACTACCGGAAATCAGAAGGAAAGCTCTGTCCTACTCAAACCCGCCGGCATACGCGACTACCAACGAAAACTGGGATGCCTGCTCTTCGCAGCCGTCACCTGCCGACCGGATCTCTCCTAGTCCGCAAGTCAACTCGCCACCTACCTTAAGAAACCTGAAGCAGAGCATATGGCGGAGCTCGACCGCGCACTACACTACCTCGTCAGTACCCCGACGATCGGATTAACCTACCACAAGACGTGAACTACGGCGCCCAAGCTAATCGGCTACGTCGACGCTGATCACGCTGCTGATCCTGAGAACAGGCGATCACGCACCGGCTATATCTACCGACTCGAACCTATCGGGCCCATCTCCTGGCAGTCGAGCAAACAGGAACTAATCGCCCTCTCCTCAGCTGAAGCAGAATATATTGCACTCTGCTCAGCCACCAAGGAAGGACTCTACCTTCGCGAACTACTGGAAGAGGCAAAATTGGCCCAGTTACCCAATTTCTCTCTGTTCTGCGACAACCAATCTGCAATTCGCATCGCCAACAAAAACGGATTCGCGAACAGGACGAAGCATATCGCCCTGCGATACTTCTTTGTGAAAGACGAGATCGAGAAGGGGAGACTCGAGCTGTCCTACTGTCCCACGTCTGAGATGGCAGCTGATTACTTGACCAAGAAACTCGGAAAGCAGAAATTTGAGTACTGCATGCTGCTGACTGGACAAGGCCACGTCACCAGCAACGACACTCCAGAAGCGAAGGGGAGTGTTGGGAACAAGTAATTTAGCGCCTCTGTCGTGTCAAAACACTAAGCTGCAAACGAAGCAAGGAATAGCAAAGCATCGGCGAGTCAACCCTCGGAAGTTGAACAATAGTTGGAGGTTACGCGAAAGTCAAAGGTCAGCGACCTTTGACCTGACAAAATACAGCGCGACAGCAAGGACACACAACTGACTTGTTATTGAGCAGTTGCCCGAGTCGTCACTGTATCGAACCGCAACAGCAGCAGTAAAACAATTATTAACCGTATCTCTTCGTATTCCTTGTACTCTTATATAAAACCTTGTACTTCTCTGCTTTAATCAATCTACTTTGCCCTCACATACCAGCGCAAGGTGGTTTACAAAGTTATCATTAAACGCTTCCGCTATTACATCGTTCCTACGTTGATCTTAGTCCTGTAAAGATCCTAAGGGCTTTTCTCAGCCAACATCGCCTACCCATCTAGGTGACAACTCCATAAGGTAAACATCGCCATTAGAAAATCAAATTGTCGAGATAGCTAAGGGTTATTGTCTTTGTAATGGTATGCTAAATAGTTTGTTTCAGCCAACAGTATTAGCTTATCAGGGAAACTATAGAGTAGGAGTGTTCCGATGGACGAACACTGCTTCAAAGCAAGCTTCTAGTGAGGAAAATTAGTGAGGTTGTGACACTCGGCTTTAACCGCAACTGCCATTTATGCAGCACACTACTCACCTTGTAGCTGTAGCCACTGGGTTTGCGCCACAGCCTAACGATACCAACTGCTCACGGGGAAGTCGTTCATCCCCTTTGCCGGGATTGCCGCGCTAGGGACATGTTGTCCGTTTGGGATGTTTTGTGTTGTAGCGGTGGGGGTCATGAAAATCTTTTTTTTTCGGACTTCATGGATAGTAACGGGTTATCATGGGCGGTTGTTGAGGGACACATCGGGGAACACGAGTGCGTCATGGGGGGAAAACCACTGCACGGTGAACACAGTCCGCCGCATACTGCTGCCGCGCTCGATGCGGCGCAACATTCCGACTTGCATGGGGCGAGCGCGGAGTAAAATGGGGTAGGGGGGAAGCATAGCACCAGGTGAGGCGAGTGACTAGGGCTGGCGCACCCGCTAAAGGCTTTGTCGACTCTGAGCTCCGAGTCTGTGCGAGATCCGAACCATGGGGCTGGCGCACCCACTGAAGCTTCGTCGACTTGAAGTTCAAAACTTTGAGGTCCGATTTCTGAAGGCCCCGTGCTGCAGTGGAATCGAGAGCTGAGCCGCTGACTCCGCAGTAGCACGAGAAATTCCGCTGTTTACCAGCCCTAGGAAAAAAAACAAGAGGCGACGAAATCGTCTTAGGGTTGCGAAACAACACTTTTAACATGCGTTAGAATTTTGAACGACTTCGATTACTTCGCCGTATTTAGATTAAAATGAATTGTGTGATTATCATGTTTTTTATGTTTTCGCCATATGTTTTTATACGTATGAGGATAGACAACAAATTAATAATGATAATGGTGTATGATAATGATAGTAAGTAGTAGTTGTGCTTGCAGAAGTTACATATTTAGTCTAGGTTGTTTTAGTATGGTAATTTACAATCAACTATGTAAGACCACTAGGTTGTTTCTAAGAAGGGATTTGTAAAAGGACTGCGCCAGGAACCGAAACCAGGACCTCCCGATAGCTCATGTAGCTTCGACACAACTGCGCTACAGGACCGTTATTTAATATGAAACTTAACAAATAAGTCAAATTAGTTTGCGCGTGAGTTGGGTTAGGTTTGGTTTCATTTCTTCCTCTTTCTTCCTCTCGTCGTTCTGTTTGGCTCCTGCTACTCACCCTCAGCCTACCAAGGTCAGAGACTAAAGCCGCCAGCTAGAACCTAGTTAGCAGATTAATGTCTCAGCCTAAACATCTACTTCTCATCTCGAAGTACTATTCAAGTCATTGATAAACCCGCATCAATTCTTTCTTGTTGATTATCTCGTTTTGAAGCATTTTTCGACCTAGCAGGACGTCGTTTTCATTCGTTTGTTCTCAAGGGCCGCAACTCATACTCCTACGTCGTTTTGAAAGATTGCAAACCATTCCGGCTTAAATGCTAATTAGTAAGGTCTCCATTTTTTTTTTCTAGTATATAGGTTCATTTTGAAGCCATAATCGGTTGAAGTCTTTTGTAGCTGTTTGATTTGCTTCTATATCCCACCATCTGCTTCCAGGAACGGTCAAGCACATTGTTGCCTCACTCCCTCCTCTTATTAACGGTGAGTTTGTGTTTGACCATCATCTTGGGAAAGAGAGAGGGGGAGAGCAGGTGAGAGCAGTAGAGTAGCGATAGAGAAAGCGAGAACTAAAGCGTGCTAGAGAACGAAAGAAAAGCTTCTGTTTGTTTGTTAGAATCTGCAGGGGCCTTGTAATCTTCATTTTGGTTTCATCTAAACTACCGTTTTTTTTTAGTTCATGTAGTTTTCTCCCGTCCACTTTCTATGGCTCTTCCTTACCCTTTCTTTATAGGCAGCAGCAGATTAGTATGTGGTTTGTAAGTCGTATGTACTTGATTCCAACTTTATTCACTGATGTTCAAGTGTGTATCTGCTGATTCTTACAAATTCGTTTTCTCGTTCGTTCTTTCTCGTTCTCACTCTCTCGTTCTCACTCTCTCGTTCTCACTCTCTCGTTCTCTCTCGTTCTCTCTCTCGTTCTCTCTCTCGCTCGTTCTCTCTCGTTCTCTTTCTCTCTCCTTCTCTCTCTCGTTCTCTCTCTCTCTCTCTCTCGTTCTCTCGTTCTCTCTCTCTCTCTCGTTCTCTCTCTCTCTCGTTTTCTCTCTCTCGTTCTCTCTTTCTCTCTCGTTCTCTCTCTCGTTCTCTCTCTCGTTCTATCTCTCTCGTTCTCTCTTTCTCTCTCTCGTTCGTTCTCTCTCTCTCGTTCTCTCTCTCCCGTTTCCTCTCTCTCTCTCTCGTTCTCTCTCTCGTTCTCTCTCTTGTTCTCTTTCTCTCTCGTTCTCTTTCTCTCTCGTTTTCTCGTTCTTGTTCTCTCGTTCTCTCTCTCTCGTTCTCTCTCTCTCTCGTTTTCTCGTTCTTGTTCTCTCGTTCTCTCTCTTTCGTTCTTTCTCTCATGTTCCCTCTCTCTTGGTCCTGATTATTCATATTTTCCACTTTTCTATGATCTCTTTTTTTCTTTATCTACTTTGTTTTAGTTTTCATGAGTTTTGCTGATCAAGAAGACGAGTGCAATCTGGACAATTTGTAGTTGTCACTTATAGGATTTCCCATATTGCCATCTTTATTTTGTTTTGCATCTTTTATGTCTTATCGTTGATTTCCGGCCGGGTTTTTTGCTGTGCATGCGTTTGGTTGTTGTGAATGTGTTGGCTTGTGTGAGTGTTCATTCATCCATCATTTCATTAACAATGCATGTCTGTGGGTTTTAAAAAGGTGAATCGACATCATTTTTACCCAAAGGTTCATTGGCGCGCCTGTCGGGAGCCCACTTGAACTGGAGATGACAGAGTTGACCACTTTTTTGGAGTTCACAGATTGTGTTGTTTCATGTGACTGCTGATTGTTCAAAGATTATGCTATCAGCTCCTCGACATGCTAGGCGGAGGATGCGGCAGCATAGTTTTTGGGTCGTTAGCTTTCACGCATCTTTATCATTGCATATATGCATCATGGATTGTCAGTAACTAATCATTATTCATATCAAACTTAAGACATGTATTTATCATTTATCATATCATATATTACACAATATATCGCATTTTATATAATATCATTTTATTCATCTACATTCACCGATCATTACATTCATTTTTTCATATGCATATTATATGGTAGTAAAGCACAACAAAGTAGATCACAAAAACAACCTAGTTGTCCAAAAAATCACTATCACCACGCTAGTAAAATTTTTACTAGACTAGACCTCCTACATGTTACATAACTAGCAATTAATGCATCCAGTTTTTTTTTTGTTTTTTTTTTTCATATTTTATTTAAAATAAATAAAATGTGAAAATGTGAAAAAAAAAAAAACTGGCCCAATCGATCGTAATAGGTTGCTTCGCAACCCAAAAAAGCCAAAAACTCGATTCAACGCTCGGCGTTGTGAGGCTGATGACACTCTTGATTTTCAGCGCATCCCAGGACCAGCAACTCTTTGGTTTTCACACCGTCTCAGTCCACACAAACTGCCAGCGGCGTGAGTCCCGCGGCGGCTGTTTCGTTCCGCCTGGAACCCCGGCTTGAAAGTTGGCGCGGGCCGTTGAAAGCTCTGCGGGCGGCAATTGGACCGTCTCCACCTGACAGCTTATCATCAGAGTAGCGGCGCCATCCGTCGCTGCAGCTCACGCGATACCTAAGGTGGGCGGAACCCGGTTCAAGCCTCTAAGCAACCTGACCAGCGCGTGCTACCGCAGCCAGTCTCAGTCTCATTCACGCTCGGTCTCAGTCTGTCACTGTCCCATTCTCAGTCCCAGTGTCAGTGTTAGTCTTAGTCTTGGTCTCAGTCTTAGTCTCAGTGTTAGTATAGTCTCAGTCTCACTCTCCACTCAGTCTCAATGTCAGTCTCTCTAACTCCCGCTCACCCTCTCTAGTTATCTCATTCTCGCTCTCACTCTCTGTCTCACGATCACTCACATCACCACAAGGTTGTTTTCATTGACAATGTGGCATCTCTAAGATCCGTCCCGTGTGGCATCTCTAAGATCCGTCCCGTGTGGCATCTCTAACGGCAGTGGCAGAGGACCTCGGTCTCAAGGGACGCCTGGGCCCCAATGGGTCACAAGGGCCCCCTACCCAGTGAGGGCCAGGCTGGTTCTATACTACTACTAGTACGTCGTTAGTAGTAGCGGTTCTACTCGTTGGCCGCGCGCTGTGGCAGCTTCGATTGCCGCGCCGCACAGCTTCGCGCATCGTGAATCCTAGTAAGTAGTGAAGCTGAATGCGGCGCGTGCAGAAATCATCGAGCGGAAACTAAGTTCTCGGTACACGAAGTAGCACCGCCGGCTCCGACTCAACCCTAGTTTAAATAAACTCAAAAGATTTCAACTGAAGATTTGAAAAACGTGCGTAAGCTTGAATCTCAAATCCCAAATTCAGCACTTTGTGTATGGCAGCAGCAGCGGCAGTAGCTCCCGCATTGTAGCTGTGGTAAGTAACTCAAGTTCACTGCCAGCGGCGGTGAGTCCCCCCGCGGCCCACTGTTCTGCTAGAAGCCCCAAGCTAGGCTGTTGAAGCGCCGGCATCTGGACCGCCTCCGCGTGGCAGCTTAACATCATAGCGGCGCTATCCATTCTTGCGTACGCGGCATTTAGGTGGGTGGAACCGGGTCTAGAAGGCGACTAAGCGCAACAGTCAGTCTCACTCTCACTCTTTACGCTACTAGTCTCAGCCTGTCGCTGTCTCATTCTCAGTTTCGGTGTCAGGGCTAGTCTCAGTCTCACTCTTTACGCTCAGTGTCAGTCGGTGCCCCATTCTCAGCCTCAGTCTCAGTGTCAGTCTCAGCCTCTCGGCGGTCTCGTCTCAGTCTCAATCTTTGCGCTCAGACATCTGTAGGTGCCCCATTCTCAGCCTCAGTCTCAGTGTGAGTCTCAGCCTCTCGGTCTTGTCTCGGTCTCATCTTCAATCGATCTCATTTCAGTAAATTTCAGTCACTCTCACTCTCACACTCAATGAGCCAATGAACCAGGGGGGGACAAGTGTAATGCATGTGGGCTAAGTGTTATGGGCATCCGCTGCGCCTAAAATAACACCCTCGTGTTGACCCAGTGGGTAGCAAGGTGTTATAGAGAACCAATAGTACCACCATACATAAGTGTCTTACCATAAGTACCTGGTTTCAGTTAGGCTCACCTGAGGTAGGCTCCCAGCCTTCTGGTAGGCTCACAGTTTGGAGCATCCAGGATGGCAAATTATGGGGACGCACTCTCATCCTTGCTCTCACCCGTACTCACTCTCTCTCACTCGCCCCCTTTGTCCCATTCTCTCACTCGTACTCACTCACTATCTTAGTCTCACCCTCATTCGCACTCACTCTGTCCTCACCCTCACTCTCACTCCCCCTCTCAGTCTCACTTTCACACAGCGCCAATTGCCTGGCGAGTGTCTTTTGAGGCGCCTCATACATCATGACTCAACGCACCAGACCGCCCGGCGAGGGACATTTGATCACTCCAAAGAAGACGCGTTCGCGCTCGCGCTCGCGCTCCCCACTCCCTTTTGAGAACTCTCATAAGTGACTCCCGCTCCCACTCTGCGTTCGAATCCCCGGTCCCTGCGACCATGGTGGCAGCTGCAGCTGCGGCTGCGGCGGTGGCGGCGGCTGCGGCGATGGTGGTGGTGATGGCGGTGCAGTGCCGGCGGTCGCAGCACGCAATCAAGCCGCGCGCATGGCAGCTCGCAGGGCGCCTTGCAACCCTCGCAGGGCTCACATGGTGGCTCCCAGCGGGCCTTCTACTGGCGCTCATGGTCGTGACGACCCTCGCCATGCCGATCGGCATTTTACAATGTGAGTGTGGCAGGGGAGGTGAGGGCGGCAGGGGAGGTGAGGGCGGCAGGGGAGGTGAGGGCGGCAGGAGGGCGATGTGATTGTTGGAAGGGAGTGGAGCCAGAGTTGGAATTGAAAAGTAGCTGCCGCAGGTGACTTGTTGGTTGCGTCAACCTACCTGATGGTAGTTGAGGTGCGGTGTGGCCAGCCAGCCTGCCAGTGGCCTTTTTGCGAATTCTTAGAAACGCACCCTGCCAACCTGAAGGTAGTTGAGGTGCAGCCAGCCAGCCTGCCAAGGGACTTTTCGGTTTTTTTTCAGAAGCACCCCGTGCCGACCCGAAGGTGGTTGAGGTGAGGAAATGCGGCCCTCTACATATCGGCCCGAAGGTAGTTCGTTTCCACCTCTACCCCCACCCCCCCTGCAACAAACCACCAACCCAGCACACCGTTTCCCCCCACAGCAGGCAGTGCAAATCCTTAACGACCACCATACAGCCAGGAACTTGGAGGTCCCCACTCAAGTTAAAATTCTGTTTAGAGGCTGACATGGCACCAATTTTTTAGGCGCAAATAAAAAGACAGCTTAAATGCTGTTATGGCACCAATTTTTGAGGCGCCTAAAAAATAGACAGCTGAAATGTTGTTTGGGCTGAAATGGCACCAATTTTTGAGGCGCCTAAAAAATAGACAGCTGAAATGTTGTTTTTGGGCTGAAATGGCACCACACCTAGACTAGACGCAACGTGGCTGCACCCCCCCAACCGGCCCGCCTCCCGCCTTCCACAACCCGCCCATTTCCGTCCCCCTCTTCCTCTTCCCTTACAGCCCGCTCCTTCCCTCCCTCCTCTTCCCTCCACCCACTCTCTCCCCCTTCCCCAACCCGCCCCCGTTCCCTCCCCCCACTACATGCAGCGCAATTTCTGCATGACTGCGTGAAACGTGGATGTCGCTGGCTGGAACAAGGTGACTTCTGAGTCAGCTTAAAAGGCAACCCGCCTCTTTCCGCACTCCCCTCCCCCCCCATATTCCCCCACCCCCAACTCCCCCTCCCCCCCCTCCCCCCCCCCCCCCCCCCCCCCTCCTCACCCACCAACTACATGCAGCGCAATTTCTGTGGGACTGCGTGAAAGCATGGAAAGTGGATGTCGCTGGCTGGAGTGTCATCAACATCGACTGCAGCAATGCGACTGGGCTCATTTGCGACGAGTCCGGAAGGGTAGTCCAGTTGTGAGTCTGCGTGCTTGGATTGGGACTTTGGAGATGGGTGGTTGGGAGATGGGAGTTGGGTGGTTGGGAGATGGGTGATGGGTGGTTGGGAGATGGGTGATGGGTGGTTGGGAGATGGGTGATGGGGTTGGGGGATGGGTGATGGGTGGTGGGGGGATGGGTGATGGGTGGTTGGGGGATGGGAGATTGGTGGTTGGGGGGGGATGGGTGGTCATGCTGATGTTTGGTCATGCTGATGTGTGCTGTGTTATGGTTGCAGGTCACTGACAGACCAGTCTTCGCTAGTGAATGGGCCCATTCCGGATTCCATCCGCTACCTCTCGGCGTTAACCGCACTGTATGTCCTCGTGAAGGAGTCTAATTGTGTCAAATATCCTATGTGTGTCCGTCCTATGTTTGTCCTTCCCATGTGCCGTCCTATGTGTGTCCGTCCTATGTGTGTCCGTCATATTTGTGTCCGTCCTATGTGTGTCCGTCCTGTGTATGTCCGTCCTAGCAAAAGCCGACAGCCTATGGCCAACCACCATCTGCCAACTGGCAATCACCATTGCTCACCACTCTGCACCTCCTTTTACTCACTCCTCACCACCCTGCTCCTTCTTTTTCTCTGCCTCTGCTTATGAGTATCAACCCTGTCCTGTGCCCTTGCTTGTGTTCCTTGCAGCGATATGAGGGGGAATCAGCTCACAGAAAGCATTCCTGATGGCATCACTGTGCTTAGACGCTTGGAGTATTTGTAAGGAGCAGTGCACGAGTGATAATGGTGCCAAGTCAACCTGCTCTGCCTATTTTCTGTTCTCTTTGATTCCCTTGCTCACTTAATTTCCTTGCTTCCCTAATCAAGTCCTCATTCTCACCTCCTCGGTCGTCTCAAATTTCTCTCAAACGAAAAGAAGGGGGAAAAAAGAACGAGCGTTATTTTACCATGGCCATGACTTTCTGGTGGTGTGCATCTTTCTGGTGGTGTGCATCTTTCTGGTGGTGTGCATCTTTCTGGTGGTGTGCATCTTTCTGGTGGTGTGCATCCATGTGGCATGCATTGTTTCAGAGATCTCTCAGGCAACCAGCTATCAGGCAGGATTCCTGCTGGCGTCAGTGAGCTCGTACTGCTGCAGTACATGTGAGCGGCACATACAGAGTCTAATTAAGAGGCGCTAACAAGGTGGCGTCAGTGAGCTGATACTGCTTCAGTACATGAGAGTTGCACATCCAGAGAGCCGGACAGCTCGCCGTGTGTGCGTCTTGCAGGGTGTGTGTCGCTTGCAGGGTGCTTTGCTTACTGAGCTGTGTCCACCTCTCCCTCTTCGCTGCTGCCTCTGTCTCGCGTGGCTTCCCATCCCATCCTTGTGTTTACTCAATGCAGGAGACTATACAACAACTCACTCACTTTTCCCATCCCCGCCGAGATTGGTGCCATGACGGAACTTATACACTTGTAAGCCCCTACCTTCTCTTCTCTCCTCCCATGCTCCTTGTTTCTCTGCGTGCTTCTCTCTTCCCTGCTCCCCCTGCTCGTGACTTCTTCCCCATTCACTTCCATGTGTGCGTGTATCGTTTTCCTCCTTCAATCTTCCTTTGCTTTAGAAAATTCCAATTCCAACTTTTAGATATAATCCAGCTTCGAGTGGAGGCTGGATTTTATTCACTAGCCCACTCGGCTTCACTGACTCGCCCAACCCAGTCGACTTGTTTTTTATATTCTCCTTTTTCTCACGCCATAAAGCTACTGTTTGTGTGTCTGTCTATTTGCTCTACCCTTGCAAATGCAAAACCATCAGCTTTCTGTTGCTTGTTGTTTCCTCTGCATTTGCTTTCTTCCTCTCAGGGATCTTTCAAACAACCTGCTAACGGGCACCATTCCTACTACTGTTGGTGCTCTCTCAAAGCTCACTCTCCTGTGAGTTATGCGCACAGGTGAAGAGGGTAAGAAGGCAAGAGCAGCATAAGCAGCCAAGCTTAGTGTGAGACGAGCATACATGTGCAACTGTAGAGTCGACTAAAAACATAGATAAGAAGGTGAGTAGGCTAGTAGGTAAGCAGGTTAGTAGGTATATCAATATCACATACCATATGCTCATTTCAAATCACAATGTCTCACATCCCATATTCTCGTTTCAATCACATTGTCTCACTGTTCATACCCTTGCTTAAATCACATAGCCTCACATCCTGTATCCTCGTTCACATCCCATATCCTCGTTTGTCTCACAGGCGACTCTATGCCAATCAGCTCACTGGCCCCATCCCTAACGGGATTAGCTCGATGGCGAACCTAAACATCATGTAAGCACCGGCACCCCCTTCGGCCCTCGATTTTTGAGGCGCCTAAAAAATCCCCACTGGCCCCATCCTTGATGGGATTAGCTCAATGACAAACCCTAAACATACTGTAAGCACTGCCCTTTCGCCCTTTTGCCCCTCACTTCTTTCCTCTACTCCCTATTTACCCATTGAATCTTCATATTATTACCGACTTATGTGCTTTCACAGAAGCCCATAGCTTTCCATTGAGTTGAGTCTAATTTATTTCGAGAATCCTCCAGAGTAAAATCTTCACCACTGCTTTTCATTGCCTCTCCGAGTGCTCTCTGGTTTTTATTCCCCTATTTCTTGCTCCCATTCCTGCCCCTATTTCATGTTTTGTTCCTCCCACATCTGTCAGCAATCCTGTTGGAATATGCGTTCATTGCTTATCGCCTTTGTTGAATCCAACTGCTCATCTTTTCCTTTCTCACCTCCTCTTCTGTTCTCAATATCCTTCTTTAAGATTTCAAGGGCTCTCATACTTCTTAACTCTGCATAATGCGTGAATTTTTTCAGGGTCCTCTCCCGCAACAAGCATGATGCTTTGAAGCAAAGAAGGCAAGCATCATGCACAGCTTGATGCTTGTGGGACAGACCTCTCCTGCATGGTGCTTTGACTCTCCTCTCTATTCTTTGCTGTGCATGATGCATGATTCCTTTCAGAGACCTCTCCCGCAACCAGCTTTCAGGCAGCATCCCTGCGAGTTTCAGTGAGCTACGCAAAATAAAGTCCTTGTGAGTACCACCACGCACACTGACAGAGAGCCTTTGATATGTGCGGCTCACAGTGTGTTTTGATTTGAGTCAACATAAAGTCGCCTAGACTTCATGTGAGCACCACCACGCACACAGCAACAGGGAATGCCACATTGATGCCTGGCTCGCAGTGTCTTTTGAGTCAACTCACCGTCACACAATAATGCATACACCAACAGCAGGGAATGCCACACTGATATGTGTGGCTCGCAGTGTCTTTTGAGTCGATTCAAAGTTACCTATCAATCATATGATCTCAAAGTGTGTGTGTATAGAGTGTGCGCTATCTCGTAGATAGGATGTAAGAGACGACACTAGGGATGACACTATGAACTCAGCCTCTTCTGGTTTCCTAAACTCTTGCCGCCCATATATTCCCTTCCACAAACACCACAGCTATCTGTACAATAACTATCTTAGCGGCTCTATCCCTTCTGGCCTTGGCTCACTGACAAATCTGAAAGCCTTGTAAGTCCTCCCTTTTCCTCTCCTCTCCTCTCCACTCCTCTTCTCTCCTCTCCTCTCCTTTTCCTCTCCTCTCCTCTCCTCTCCTCTCCTTTCATCTTGCCTCGTCTCCTCTCCTCTCCTCTCCTCTCCTCTCCTCTCCTCTCTGTGCCTATCCCCATGTTGCCTTCCTTTCGTCCTCCCTCAACTTATCTCTTCTTGCTTCACCACCTATCTGCCTGCTCACCCGCACCTGTTCACTTGCCCCAATGATCTGCCCGTTCACCCGCCAGTCACGTGCCCAATAACCTCCCTGTTCACCTGCCATTCACTTGCTGATTGATCTCCACGTTCACCTGCCCAATGCCCATTCACCTGCCCATTCACTCGCTCATTCACCTGCCCATTCACTCGCTCATTCACCTGCCCATTCACTCGCTCATTCACCTGCCCATTCACTCGCTCATTCACCTGCCCATTCACTCGCTCATTCACCTGCCCATTCACTCGCTCATTCACCTGCCCATTCACTCGCTCATTCACCTGCCCATTCACTCGCTCATTCACCTGCCCATTCACTCGCTCATTCACCTGCCCATTCACTTGCTCATTCACCTGCCCATTCACTCGCTCATTCACCTGCCCATTCACTCGCTCATTCACCTGCCATTCACTCGCCCAGTGGTCTGCAACAGAATAAGCTAACAGGGCCTATTCCCGATTCCTTGAAGGGCCTGGCTCAGCTCACATGGATGTGCATAGAGATTTTATTTTTCTTGTTGAGTGATGTGCTTGCTGGCTGCATGCCATTTTTTTATTTGATTCTCCTGTCATCGCATCCTCGTTCCGTTCCATCTACCCCTCCCTTTCTCTCCACCTTACTTCTGTAAGCGATTCTTTAGAATTCTCAAAAAGCTGCACGCCATTTCTCGCTTGATTCTCCTGTCATCGCATCCTAATTCCATCTATCACTCCCTTTCTCCCCACCTTGTTTCCGTTGTCCATTCGTCCCTCCATTTCTCCTCACCAAATTCCATCTATCCTCCATGCTCTCCGCTCTCAAATCGTCAGGGACTTTAGTCTGAATCCACTAAGCGGGACTATTCCGTCCGACTTCAGCAGCATGAGCAACCTGAAACATCTGTCAGTATATCAAGGGCATCACTTAACGGCTTTTGAGGCACCTCAAAAGCTAGAAACACGTCACCTTCCCTTGTCAACGTATGGGCTATTATACTATAACGTGGCTCTCCATCATCTTATACGCTACCCTAGGGATAATGTGATGGGGGGAGGGACTTCTGAGTCGACTCAAAACTCGCCTCGTTATGGGCTATTACACTACAACGTGGCTCTCCATCTTAAACACAACCCTAGGGATGGTGCAAGGGGAGGAGGAGAGGCGGGGGAAGAAGGGTGTGGAGATGATTTGGGTTTGGGGCCATGGGCGTGGCTAGGATTTAAGTGCATTTTCCACTATGAGCGAAGACCCTTGGGACATTGAATGATTTGGGGCCATTGGCGTGGCTAGGGGGATGGGGGGTAGAAGGAGGGGTTAGGGTGTCGTGGACTCGAGAAGACCAGCGCACCTTGCTGTGGAAACTACAAGAGATTTCAAGCAAACTTTTTAACTAACAACAATTTTTACAAGTTGAATCAGTCGCAGCCACGTAAAGACATGCCTCCTATCTGGGGCTCCGAAGGAGGGGTTAGGGTGTCGTGGACTCGAGAAGACCAGCGCACCTTGCTGTACACAGATTCTAAGTTACAATCGCTTGTAACGACGAGGAGGAACGAGGGGACGAAGTGAGGAAAAGCCTCGATTCCCTCATTACTCGAGCGAGGCAATCCAAAAGGAGACGAGCAGTACTCGCCTCATCGAATGCCCTTGTGCACTTCATCATTATCTCCAATTGGTTTCAACCTCTGACCACAGTAGTTTGTTGGGGGTTCAATATTCTGCTCTGGTCCATCCATTCAATCGATTGGCCCTTCCCACCTCAATATCACTTGCTACCTGAAACAAAGTAGATTCCTGAATCCTTTCACCCTGTTCACCTATGTATATGCAGGCATCTCTCTGAAAGCAATCTCTCGGGGTCCATCCCAGAGGCCATTGGCAACCTCGTGCGCTTGGAGAGTCTGTAAGTAAGCTGCTGATCCTTCCATCCGCTTCTCTGTCTAGGGCGTAGGCGTGGAGGTAAGGTGGCCCTTCCCTTGCTGAAGTTTGAATCCTTTCAGGAGAAGAATATTTGATAGTCTTCAACGTCTCTTCCTGAAGTGTTTGTTGTGTGCCCGGAGTGTGTGTGCCCCGAGTGTGTGTGCCTCGACCCGAAACATTAGTATCCGGGGTGAACATTTGCGGAGAGTCACTCTACAACGGTAGTGAGCTAGACTACGGGGTTGGCACGAACTACTAGAGGTGATCGTAGATTTGCTTAGTTCCTTAGTGCTTGCGCATTCACGGGAGTAATCGACAAGAGTTTCCACTAGGCAAAGTCGAAATTACAGAATGATTGAACAAGAAGTCACAACAATGACTACATCAGGCACCTAGCAACCCTGCAGCTAGCCTGGTCGACCGCCAGCACAGCTCGGTCGACCACCTGCGAGCGTTGCGTAGAGGAGCCGCGCCAGCATTGCAGAAGGGCGACCTACCAACAGAACAAATCGACGGCGTGCCAACGCTGCAGCAGAGCGGCTGTCCAGCGTTGCCCCGTAGAACACAGCAATGCGCACGCTCGCAGGTGCGCGCAGACGATTGGCCTGACTTGCCTCGTTGGGCATCCGTTGGCTGTTGTCTACGCTTGACAAGCCACATCGACTTCGGGATACCAGCCCGAAGTCGCCTGCGCCGTTGCGACCTTGACGACGTTCGCGTGCCTCCGCAGAACTCGTCGAGCAAGTTACCCGGTCGATCCGGTCGACCACCAGGTGCTTCCGGTCGACCACCACTGCTTCTGGTCGACCACCAGGTGCCTCTGGTCGACCACAACTCCCGTTGAGCTACCCTCTGGTCGACGGACCCCTTCCGTCGACCAGAACCGTCAGCGGTTGTCGCCGAGCTCCCCTCGTCGACCGCTGCTCACTTGTCAGGTTGACGGACTGCTCCGTCGACCTCCCGGTCGAACTGCAGGTCGACAGACTGCTCCCGGTCGAGCTGCAGAACGACGGACTGCTCCCGGTCGAGCTGTAGGTCGACGGGGACCCCCTGGTCGAGCTGCAGGTCGACGGAGACCTCCCGGTCGAGCTGCAGGTCGACGGAGGCCTCCCGGTCGAACTGCCCCTCCTAGTCGACGTCCCATCCGTCGCCCAGACCAGTCAGTTGCAGCTGTCGAGCTCCCTGGTCGACAGCAGCACCACAGCGGTTCCCTGCAGCTCGACGATGCCTGTCGAGCAGCTCTCCCACTGTGAACGGTCGGCTACTACTCCCGTACATCCGACCAAGTCGTCGGCGTTGCCCAAGCGAGGGCGGGGCCAACACTCCATTCCTGTGAACAACATTAATACGGGGTTTTTTCTTCCATCCAGCAATTGCAGCATGCGATTCTTAGAAAGGAGAATCTGTTGGCATAAGAGCATCAGTTTCTTTGGGTGTTTCGACCCATTTTATTCACTCTTGTTCTGCTCCTTCTTGTGGTGTGCTTGCTGATGTGAATCCAGGTTTCTCCATAAGAGCAGTCTCTCGGGGGCCATCCCACCAGCCATTGGGGACCTGCTCTACTTGCAAAACTTGTAAGCTTTCATAGCGCGCCGTGTTTGTTTGTCCATCCTAAGGGACCACCTGGAGCACCAGCCTCACATGTTTAGCCAACCGCACCGCACCAGCTGTGTCATGACCACATAAGCAGACAGCTGAAACCCTTGAGGTCGTATCCCTGGCTGGTGGCAAGAAGTTTGCGCACGCGATTGGTTAAAGAAAACACTTGACCAATCGCATTGGCCGGGCATCTGTTTTGGACCAATCGCGTGCGCAAACTTCTTGCCACCAACTTCTTGCCACTAGGCTGGGATACGACCTGAGTCGACTAAAAAAAACACTCGCCGCCATTTTACACCCCTCCCCATGGCAGCACCATGTGGGGCACCGGCCTCACATGTCCGGCCAACTACACCAGCTGTGTCCAGAAGCAGAGTGCCGAGTCTGCCTTTTGCCGCACTTGCCCCTCCTTCTGCGGAACCTGCCTGGCGTCACCAGGTAAGTTTTGAGATGTCTTAGAAGTTGCCTGGAGTCACCAGGTGAGTGCAGCGCAATGAAGCGCACCACGGCATCATCATGTGAAATGAGATTGCTTTTGAGGCGTCCCCAAAACACGCTTCTTTCAGTTGCATGGAGTCATCTCTTTCTAATATTCTAAGCTTGTTTCGCTGGACTGGCTCTTAAGACGTTGTTTATAAAAGTCAGTCCAAGAAAAAACCTCAGCAGTTTTGCTGCTGCTGGTTGCCGTGCTACTCTACCTCCGGCAGAAGCGGCAGCAGAAAGCAGCTGATGAGAACGAAGGTGCTGTATGTCTGTTGACTCGTGAGCCAATTTTTTCAGTGATGCTTTAGTCGGCTTAGAAGGTATGAGGTGGGGAGGAAAGGGTTGTGAGTGGTTCAACTGAACGGACTGGCTTGTAGAAAGGCACAAGAATAGAAAGGTACAAGGTCCTAGAGTGCAAAGGAAAGTGGGTTGAAAGGCATGATGAGAGGAGCGGGGGATGAGTAGGCTCCTGATGGAGTTCCAAGACTTCCAATTTAAGGATAGCGAGAATCGTGAGCCATGTTGAAATCACTTCTGAGAATCCTCAAAAGTGAGAATCTTAAGCCACCCATTCGGGTAAGGTTGGAGATTTGTGTTCACTAAATCCAGCCCAGATGCGTGTTCTGTGTGTTTCTGTGTGCGCGCGTGTGTGTCCTTGCGTGTGTGTGCGTGCGTGTTTGCGCATGTGTGTGAGTCCAGCAATGAAACAAGCACAGCACGAGCTTACACTCCATCCAGAATGTTCCTTACAGCTATAGACCCCTCACCCCGCACACCCATCCCTCACCCTTCATCACTCACTCCAACCATTTACCCTTCACCCTGCACCCCACAAGCAGCAAAAGCAGGCAGTACGGTAGGCGCAAGCATACCTGCAGCTCGAACACCTTCTTACCGCACCGCACCTGGACTCCCCATTGCACGCGTGCTTAGCAGCCCAGCAGCCTCGCACAGCCTGCAGTTCTCGTTTGCTGAAGTCACTTAAGCCACCTCGTAACCTTCGCCCCTCAACTCTCAACCCTTAACCCCCCATCATTGAGCCTTCCCCCCTCGCCCCCACACCCTGCACCCCACAAGCAGTGAAAGCATGCAGTGCAGCAGGAGCACACAACGCTGCAGCCGTTCAACCCTCTAGTAGCTCAGCAGCTGGACTCCCCGTTGATACCGCACTCGGCAGCACAGCACCTGGGGACCGATCTGGCAGCACAGCAGCTCTGCTCCCCATTGCACGCATGCCCAGCAGCCCAGCAGCTGCACACAGCCTCCAGTTCTCGTTTGAGGAAGTCACTCAGGCCACCAACAACTGGTCCGAGAAGAACTTTGAAGGCTCGGGGGGCTTTGGCGATGTGTACAAGGGGGTGTCGCCGCGCGATGGTGTCACTGAGTGGGCTGTGAAGCGCGCCAAGCTGATCGACAAGAACTTCGAACGGGAGGTGAGCGAGTGGGTTGATCACGAAAATTGCATACCTGTGTATGTATGTATGTTTTACACACACACACACACACACACACACACACACATACACACACACACACACACACCCACCCACACCCACACCCACCCCCACCCCCACCCCCACCACCACACCCACCCACACCCACACCTACACCCCCACCCCCACCCCCACCCCCACCTCCACCCCCACCCACACCCACACCCACACCCACACCCACACCCACACCCACACCCACCCCCCCCCCCCACACACACACACAAACATGCATATAAGGACATAGATGTACATGAAAAAAAAAAAGCACTCTTTTGCATTTGGTATTTCACTTGTTTATTCCACCCTTGCGTTGTATGCTCCGTTTTTATGGTGAATGCATATTGTACCTTTTTGGTTGCCTTTTTTTGCACATGCAGATCCGACAAATGGCTGACAAGAACCATCCCAACATCGTTCGACTGCTTGGGTTTGCTGATGGGGATGGCATGAATAACCGGCCAAAGCAGGTCCTGGTCTACGAGTATGTGCCCAATGGCGACCTCAACAAGTGGTTGGATCCAGAAAGTAAGTCTACTATTACGTTTATTCACCTCGTGCTTAACATGAATAACTGTTGGAAATTACATGAAGAATTGGCCAGAGAAGGTCCTGATCTATGAGTATGTGTCCAATGGCGACCTCAAGAAGGGGTTGGATCCAACCAGTAAGTCTTCTACTGCTGGTAGTTCGCTCACCTCATGCTTATCAATGCTTGTCATAACGCACAACATACCCATGTGCTTAATATTGTCATGTGCCTAATGCCATGCGTCTGACAGTGCAATGTGCCTACTGCCATGTGCGGAATGCCATGCGCGCATGCCAACCGGACTGATACATTCTCCCTCATGCAGATGCATCCTTCTCTCCCTCATTCTATGCTCATGTTTGTTGTGTACCCAACTTAGTTGGATATTACGCTTACGTTTACATACGTTTTACGTTTACGTTTACGTACGTTTTACGTTACGTTCACAGTCCCAAAATGAGTTTACGTTTCCGGGCAGATTCGTTTTTTTTCAGCTGCCCGGATCATAAAATGTTCCTGGGATTCAAATTACGCATTAAAATTATCTATGATAATGTTATTGTTTCAGCTACGAAATAACCATCTTTAGCCAGAAATTTAGTTGCCGACCATTGTTTGTATTGGCGCGCCACTTTGTGACGCGTTACTTTTGCTAGGTGCACAAACTCAATTCGCGTTTTCCCACCAATTTCACACAAAATCGCGTCTACTCCCCCCCCAGTGTCATCACTACGACCTCTCCACCTACCCTTGTGTTCCCGTCTCGTGACGTACGCGAGGCTCCGAAGGCTACGCTCGATGCTAAAGCTTTAATTTCACGACCTAATTTTCTCATATTTACTACCTAGAGCTCGGATCTAGATCCTCCAATCTAGCTAATAGAATTCCTAGTCACGACCTAAGTTACGATCTAGGAATGGTGTTACGAAATTCATTAGCGAGGTAGATAGCTATGAAAGAACCGAAGCCTACCGTCAATCCTGAAGTATAACAATTTCGCACGGGACTGTATGCGCTGCCCTGAGTGGATATGCAGCAACATTGCTCTCCTCTCCAGGGCCAAAAGAACATAACTTTTTTTTTTTTGCCGATTTTTTTTACCCTGCCCGGATCCAAGTTACGCGTATTTACGCGTACGTAAACGTAAACGTAATGTTACGCGTAACTTTACGTTTACGTAGGTCCAGGGACGTACGGACCCATCTTAGGTACCCAAAGCTATTTCCCAATGCCATATGTCACATGCCCAATGGCACATGCTTAATGTTAAATACCCAATGATACGTGCCTTATGCTACTTGCCTCATGCCCAATACTACGTGCGTAATAATGCCGTCCGAACGCAGAAGCACCGTTCGTGTTGACCCTGCTGCAGCGATTGCGCATCCTCATCGGGGCAGCACGTGGTCTGGATTATCTCCACAGCTTCGAATTGATACACCGCGACATCAAGCCCGCCAACATCCTCATCAGTGCTGACCTGCAGGCAAGATTTTTAGAGTCGATTTAAATACCACATCAGAATTGCCAACATCCTCGTCGGTGGTGCTGACATGCAGACACGCTCACTCCCAGCAAGAGAACGATAAGTTGCCGACCAGCAAGTCCCAGAATCTTCTTCGTCCCTCACGCTTGGTTATTTAACAAACTCCTATGCTCCCGGCCAAGATTACGGATTTGATTTTGTGTTCGAGTCGACTCAAAACTTGCCCCAAACTGACAAACTCTCACACTTATTCCTTTGTTGTAACAACTCTCAACCTTATTGAGTTGTAACAAACCCTCCCCACACCAGGCTAAGGTTGCTGATTTCGGCCTGATAAAGGCGGGAGAAGGCACGAGCGCTTCCTCTACAGTAGGGATGGGAACACCGGGCTATGTGGACCCTGTGTATGCGAGGACGACTAAGCCAACCACAGCCACTGACGTCTATAGGTAGTATCAGAGCTGAAAGAGTAAAACTTAATGGCTTTTTGCAGCGCCCCCAGAATCAACTTCGTCGAGTCCCGCACATTGAGGGCCACTGTGGTCATTGAGGGTACCCGACATTGAGGCTGATGTTTATGCTGAGGCTGATGCTGAGGCTGATGCTTCATACTTTTTCACGTTTTGGGGTGTGCAGCCCAACCTGTTATAATTTGCTCAATCAAATTAATGCTGATTGTGCACTTGTGTGCATTGTGTCAGGTTGGCATAAATGTATGCCTCACCCTCCCTCTCCCTCACCCACTCCCTCTCACTACATCTCCCCCTCCCCCTCTTCCTCCTCCTTTTCTATCCCTCATCCTGCGCCACAGCATCGGAGTGCTCATCCTGGTGGTGCTTACAGGCCGCACTCCCAGCATTGACACTCCTGAAGGGGGCAAGCACATTGTCGCCTGGGTAAGCACCTCCACTGCCAATGCCACCGCCACCACCGTTTCCCACACCGTATGTTTTTCTAGAATTTTCAAAAAACATCCACCACTGCTTCCCACGCCTCTCACTTGCGCATCCGCCTCCTGCTCTCACTCCCACATGCTCTCTTCCCGTTCTCCATCCCTTTGCAATCCCTTCTCCCAATCCCTTGCAATCCCGTCTCTCTATCCGTTACCATTCCTTCTATCAATCCTGTGCAATCCCTTCTCTCAATCCTTTGCGATCCGTCTCACTTCCTTGCAAACCCTACCCAATCCAGGAGGCCAGGTGTCTATCAAGCAACGATCTGGCTTCCCTGAAAATCCCCAGCATGGATGCCCCAGACAATGTTCTGCAAGGGCTGATCCAGCTGGCGCTTACTTGCACAGTAGAGCGCACAGCAAGCCGGCCGACCATGGGGGATGTTGCCAATGAGCTGCAGGCTGTCAGGAACAGAGTGGCGGGGAGGGAGGAGGTGCGAGCGGCAGTTGAAGTTGATAAGGAGGATGCGGAGAGGATGAATGCGTTCAGGTACTTCAAGAACCTGAGTGATGAATTAGCCCTTGTTCAGGAACTTTAAATGTTGCGTTAATATGTTGCGGTGGCCTTCAACAACCATTAGTCTGTTTATTTGTTTGTTTGTTTCTTTTTTGTGCACTTCTGGTTCATTAAGCCAATTTTTTATTTTATGAGCACATAAGACAGTGAAATGGCACATGCGATATTTTCAATGTATCATAGATCTTGTCACTGGTTTCAGTGGAGACATGATATCCTAGTGAGTCACAAATGAGAATATTTTGCTGGCCCAAGAGTTGGGGCCTGTAAGGTGGATAGTCTGAACACTGAATCTCAATGCCGATGTAGCTGTTGTGCCACTACAGCCAAACATCAATAACAGCCAAGAGAGCCCCAAATCATCTCATCCCTCCCGATTGCAGCCAGGCGTGTCCCGCACGCAGTGTCGGCTTGGGATTGTGGTGCACGGGAGATCATAGCAGATGATTGCGGGGTTCGTGAATTGTGACAGAGACATAATAGCTGAATATCGTGGATTTCGGGGTTCACTGCTGGGGCATGACCGCGGGTCGGGGGGACATGGGTGCGCGGGACGTGACCGTGTGTTTGGGGGGACATGGGTGCGCGTTGCGGGGACATGACTGCGCCTCTGCTGGGCTTGTTGCGGCGGTAATATCATCGACTGAGCACCCACGGAGTACAGTACTACTCCTAGGGACGCCACTCGTCGTGGGGCCGCGCGCGCTGACACTTCAGCTTCGATTGCCACGGCGTCTCAAAGCTTCGAGCTTCGTGAACACTAATAGGCGTGCCAACCCTTATGAACCCTAATAGTAGGCGTGCAGATTTAACCAAATTCGAGCTGAACCCAGTCCTCTCCCTGGTACTACGAGGAGTACTAGTACCATTTCTCGCTGCATCTCAAGCCTAGTTTTGAGTGAACAACTCAATCAATAGAATTTATCGCATTCTGTTTCAGCAGCTCTAGTAATTCTCGCACTGTCTCGCGCCGTGCGAGAGCCCAAAACTCATCCCAATTCTCAAACATTCAGCGCGATCTATCAGCAGCTCTAGTAGTTCTCGCACTGTCTCATCTCAAGCCCACGCAGGTTGCCAGCGGTGTACAGTCCCGCGACCCGCCCGTTAGCTCCGCTTAAAACGGCAAGCCGTTCCGTTTAAGACGGCTGCATCTGACCGTCACGGCCGACAACATCATAGCCTCGCTATCGAGGGGCTTTTGTGCGGTCTCTATAGTCAGCTTGCATCATCCCGCGGCGCTACTATCCGCTGCCACTGGTTACGCGGCACAAGGCGGAACCCCGGATTAGGCGACGCAGCAGCCTTGGACCGGCGCGTGCAACAGTCAGTCTCAGTCTCACTCTTTTATGCTCAGTCTCAATCTACGTCTCAGTCTCAGTCTCAGTCTGTCGCTGTCTCATTCCCAGTGTCAGTGTCAGTCACTCAGTCTTATCTCAGCCTCATTCTTCACTCAGTCTCAGTATCAGTGTCTCTCACTCTCACTCACTCGCACTTTCAGTTGCACTCACTCTCTTGCACTCACTCACTCTCTCACTCTCACTCGCTCTCGTTTACTCTTAATCTCATTCGCACTCTGTCTCACCCTCACTCCCACTCACTCTCTCCAAGTCTCACCCTCACTCCCACTCCCTCTCTTAATCTCAGGCTCACTCACAGCATCATTTACCCGGCAAGCACCATGATGGCTCCAAAGGGGAACCGCTCGCGAGATATGTTTGGAATTCCTAAGAAACATCTCGCACAGAGGACGCGTTCGCACTCCCACTCCAACTTCCAATTGCCATCCCCTGCGTCGGCAGCGGCTAACGCGGCGGCGGCAGCGACAACAGTGGCTATGGCGAAGCGGCGGCGGGCGCAGCACTCACTGACGGCCCTCGCATGGCTCGCAGGGTGGCTCGCCGCCGGCCTGCTCGCGCCGCTTGTGACGACAAACGCCGTTCCGCTCGAACCCACTCAAGGTGAGCTGGGCAGGCCGGGTGACTGTTGGGCAGGCTGGGTGACTGTTGGGCAGGCCGGGTGACTGTTGGGCAGGCCGGGTGACTGTTGGGCAGGCTGGGTGACTGTTGGGCAGGCCGGGTGACTGTTGGGCAGGCCGGGTGACTGTTGGGCAGGCCGGGTGACTGTTGGGCAGGCCGGGTGACTGTTGGGCAGGCCGGGTGACTGTTGGGCAGGCCGGGTGACTGTTGGGCAGGCTGGGTGACTGTTGGGGAGGCCGGGTGAGGAATCAATAATTATGGACTCATTGCGCGTCCGGAGGGGAACCCACTTGCTCGGCATTCCTGTGACGGGGCATGGGTTGCGTTGCAACCCACAGCCTTCACCATGGCTCTCGGATAATTCGGTCGGCATTCTCACAACAAGACAATCGGGGTCTATAGTTGTGCGTTCCACGTCAGTACGACGGTGGAGAGTACTCGTCCATGCTCGCAGGTTTTTTTTTTCCATGTCAGTATGTTCTTCGCATCGCCATCGTTCGTTCCATGTCAGTACGACGGTTGCCAGCCATTATTGCGTCCTCTTCCTCGAGGGCTGCCACGGCCACACGCAGTGCACTGCACTTCCCCTACAACTACTCTATACCGTGATGTTTGGATCGACCGAACCAAACGAACTTTGTCGCCCCCCCACCTCCCCGCACCATGCTCCCGCCCCCCTCTTTCTGCAGGACACCTTTCGAGCGACTCCCAGACGGCGTGGAGCTCGAAGGTCCCCACCAGGGATGGCGGTTGCCCTCCCAGACGTGAATGCACCCCCCCAACCTGCCCTGCCACCTTCCCTCTTCCCCTCATCCCGAAGCAATCCAATCCACCCATTCCCTCAACCCAACCCCCACAAACTGCTCCCTTGCGACTTCGCCCACACACAGTGCAATTCCTGAACGAATCTCAGGCGGCATGGAAGAGCGTGAAGTTCCCCGGCTTGGACGGCCCCAAACCTGACTGCGACCTGCTTTCTGCATACGACATCAGTTGTGACGCGCACGGCATGATTGATAAACTGTGAGCCGCGTGGCTGGGAGTTGTGTGGTCAGGAGATGGGTGGTTGGGAGATGGGTGGTTGGGAGTTTGGTGGTTGGGATATGGTGCGCAGTGCTCGTCCTGCTGTTGATGTGTAGTAGAAGCCATGTTCTTGAAACACATGCATACCGTAATTATATTGAACACTAGAATTCCATGACAAGATAAGCAGTGGGAAACATGCACTCAAATTTTAATGAGGCACGGGAATGGCCGATTGCGGCTGTGTCGAATCTTGAGTTTTGAGTCGACTCAAAAATGGCCGATGGGGGCTGTGTCGAATCTTGAGTTCAACGGGCTCTGAGGTGCTCTTTCTATAGTCTGTATGTCAATTTCTGAAACAATACAGTTCGATTGAGTTGAGTCGAGAGTGTAAATATTCATGCCTATCAGTCCAGGGTAATGCTGCTGGCATGGGCAACCGTAAACACCGCCGCCAGCATAGGGCCGTCCTTGTGTGAACATTGAAGGACAGCTTAGATCGCTAGCATAGGGTTAGAGTAAAAAAAGAAATTCCAGTTTTACCGACATTTGTGAAGAATATCTACAACTCGCGAGTAAATATTAGAGCCAGCTCAGCGTTAACAAGCTACAGCTGCAGTTTATTCGTAGCTGATGTGGCTGGTATTCATAACTATCCTTGACTATGTGGTCATGCTAATGTGTAATCATGCTGAAATGTGGTCATGCTGATGTGATGTGTGGTCATGCTGATGTGGGGTCATGCTGATGTGTGGTCATGCTGATATGATGTGTGGTCATGCTGATGTGTGGTATGTGGATGCAGGTTGCTGGGGGACCAAAATCTGCGAGGGTCCATTCCGCAATCAATCAGCAACCTCAGGAACTTAACTTGGCTGTATGTCTGCTCCAGCCAACGGCCCAATTGCTATCTGCCATCTGCCACCTGCCACCTGCCAGCCACCTGCCATTTGCTATTTGTTAATCCTCGGATGTTTCATGCTTCACTCCACAGTCCACCAAACCCAGCCCTACCCGAAGCCACGGTTGTCCCAGTCACTTGTTTCTGCTCCATCAATCAACCCCATCTACCTCACCCGTCCACCTTGCTGTCGTTTCCCACCTTTTCTCACCTCATCATCTTTTTCCCACCTCACCCTCGTTTCTCACCTCATCATCTTTTTCCCACCTCACCCACTTTTCTCACCTCATCGTCTGTTTCCCACCACACGCTCTTTCTGCTGTGACATTCTGTTGGTGTGCATGCATGCCACCTTTCAGAGGTCTCTCCTCGAGCCAACTTTCAGGCAGCATCCCGGCAGGCGTCGGTGATCTCAATCAAATGCTCTACATGTGAGCAGCACACGCAGAGTTTTGAGGCGATGAGTATCCATCCACGTGTCGTGATATGCGTATCCATCCATGTGACATGATATGCGTATCCATCCATGTGACGTGATATGCGTATCCATCCATGTGACGTGATATGCGTATCCATTCCACGTGACGTGATATGCGTATTCATCCATGTGACGTGATATGCGTATCCATCCATGTGTCGTGATATGTGTATTCATCCATGTGACGTGATATGCACGCATCGGTCCATGTGACATGCATCTATTTACATGTGAGGTGCATTCAACCTACAATTGCATTCATGCTTGCGACCTCATATACACATTCATAACTATCATATATGTCATATCAATTCCCCCCATGTCAGCTTCTTCCTTTCCCGTGTTGTGTTCACTTGTGAGTGGCCCACAAGCGTCAAAACAGTAGAGTAGGAAGGTATGTAGCAGTACCACCACACGCATATCAGCCAGCCAGACAGGCAGTGCGTACCAGTGCAATAGAGCTCCCCTGCCTTTCCTGCCTCGCCATATCCACCTGGTGCTTCTTTTGAGGCACCTCAAAAGTAGACTCCTGTCCTGCCTCACCATATCCGCCTGGTGATTCTTGCCCCAACTGAATCTGTTATTTATATGGTGATACGTCTACCCACGTGGTGAAACGTCTACCCACGTGGTGATACGTCTACCCACGTGGTGATACGTCTACCCACGTGGTGAAACGTCTACCCACGTGGTGATACGTCTACCCACGTGTTGATACGTCTCCCTTGGTGTCTTTTTTTGACGACTCAAAATACACCCTCGTGGATATAACTGAGTACCCCATCCCATCATCTTCTTAATGTTCTCTTCTTATCGCCCTTCTCAGTGACCTCAAGCTTAACTTCCTTGATGGGTCCATCCCCTTCCAAATTGGCTCCATGAAAAAACTTATTAGATTGTAAGTAAACGTCACCCTTTTCTTCTCTCCTCTCCTACTCCTTTTCTTCTGTGCATTCTTCCAACCCACCCCCTCCCCTCCTCCACCCCCTCCCCTTGCCTCCTCTTACCTCCTCTGACCATTCTCTTTCACCTGCTCCATACCTCTCCCTCACTTCCGCTCCTTACCTCTCATCTCCTCTATCTCCTCTGGGGTTATCGGGCCGCTGCAACGGCCAATACCCCCTCAGCTGCGCTAGTCATGTCTGACTTGAGGGTCATATAACTTGATCCGACTCAATTGTAACTAGGAGGCTCAGGTCGTCTCACGACTCCTATACGGTCGAAGCCAATAGGCACGTCATGAGTCTCTTTCGACTTGATACCAGGTTCGAACATGTAGTTGACACCCAAGCGTGTTATGAGTCGACTCAAATTCTACTTGATACCAGGTTTGATCGAATATGTGGTTGACGCCCAGGTCGACGCAACTTGTGTGCTCTACTGTATCTCAACTGTCCATCCTTTTATTCACCTATTGCTTGTTGTAACGTGCTACTGGTGTCACCATGTAAATTGGTCAATGGCATTACCATCATACATTATCATGTCTTCTGTTCCTACTCTTTGAATCATACTGTTTATCCTTTCACTTCTCGCCTATTCGTAGCTTCTCAATTTCCTTATTCTAAGATCCACGGGTTCTGTTGCTGTCTGTGTGCATGGTGCCCCCTCACAGAGACTTCTCTTACAACCAGCTTTCAGGCAGCATCCCTGCCAGCTTCAGTGAGCTCCGCCAGCTAACGTTCATGTGAGCAGCAGCACACACACCGACACAGAATGCTAGCAATGTGTGGCTTGGGGAGTGTGCGTAGCTCATGGGGGCATCGCGAACTAAAGTCGCTGTGAGCAGAATGCCAGTGATGGCATGTGTTGCTTGCAGGGTTTGCGTAGCTTTTGAGGCGCCTTAAAGGTCCATGTAAGCAGCACGCATGCCATCAGAGAATGCCAGCGATGTAATGTGTGGCTCCCGGCGTGTGTGTAGCTCCTAGTGTGTGCGTGGATTGTAGAATCGTGTGTCACACACGATTCTTCACACAAGGAGGTGAACCTCTGTTGGCGTTGCTGTTTACTATTGTCCAAGTAGCTAGGGTCCTGGCCTGGACCTTAGCTGTCCCGATCTCATTTGAGAGGGTTTTCAGCAACCCTTTTCAACTTATACTCCCTTCCACAACCACCACAGATCTTTGTACAGTAATCATCTCAACGGCTCTATCCCATCTGAGCTTGGCTCATTGACAAATCTGGAGTCATTGTAAGTCCTCCCTTTTTCTGCCATCCCCTTGTATGCCCATCCCTTATCTTCCACCTTGTAAGCCCTCCCCACTCTTCTCTATGTCTTATTTGTGCTTCTCTTTGTTTCGGCTGCTCCATCTGCTTCGCTCTTACTCTCTTCTCGTTTCCTTTCCTCTCTCCTCTACTCTACTCTCCACTCCTTTCCTCTCCTCTCCTCTCCTCTCCTCTCCTCTTCTCTTTGTGCCTTTACCCTCCCCTTGACCTCACTGGTCTTCACATCGTTCACTGTTTTCAAGGCTCATCCTTTCCCTCCTCGCCTGCTCGTCTCTTCTCAAAATATTACTCTGGTAAAAATCAACTTTCATGCCACTGTAATGCTATGCCTGTTGCTCTATCAATTACATTATGCCCTCTGTTGCTGTCTGTGCTGGTGCTTCCTCACAGAGACCTCTCTTACAACCAGCTCTCAGGCAGCATCCCTGCTAGCTTAGGGGATCTCCGCGAACTCAAGTCCCTGTGAGCAACAGCGCACTGTCTGAGAATGCCAGTGACGTGATGCGTGGCTTGCAGGTGTGCGTGGCTCCTAGTGGGTGATGTGTCCGCGGCAGCATCTTTGCTAGCTTAGGGGATCTCCGCGAACGCAAGTCCCTGTGAGTAGCACGCAGGGCGTGCGTAGTGATGTGATGTCTCGTCAGAGAATACCAGTGATGTGATGTGTGGCGTGCAGGGTGTGCGACGTGATAAAGGTGTTGTTTTGAGACGTCTCAAAACAACACCTTTATCCAGTGATGTGATGTGTGGCGTGCGGGGTGTGCGTACCTCCTAATGTACTTGTGGATCGTAGAAGGTGTCACGAGAGATGACACTAGAGATGACACCCAGTGGTTCTTCACACAGAGAGATGTACCTCTGTTGGCGCTATCTGTCCTCTATTCTTCACAAAAGGAGACGAAAAATGTTGGCGCTGCTTTGATTTCATGCGGTAAAGTTGAGATTCAAATTGCTATTTCACAAAGCCTACCAGCCCGCACCCCACCGATCCATATTTCTCATCCATACCGAACCATATCCGATCCGTTCCGACCCGTACCCAACCGTTACCCACCTTGGTTCAAGCAAAACGGGTCGGGTCAGGACGGGCCGACTCGTTTCTCAAGTGACTAGTGCAATAAACCTCCAAAACCCTTCAAACTTCCACCTTTTGCCCTAACGTAACGTCGGGATCTAAACCCTGAACTTGCCGATTTTCTTACTATAGGTGTGCTTAATGAAACACTGCCTGCTGCTGAATTCGGGTATTCGATTTGATTGAAAGGCAGGTTTGTAGGCAAGAGACTAGGTATTGAGGAGATTAGGAAATCTAACTTGAGAGTTGGAGCTTGGAAGTGAGCTTCATTTTGTGCCGATCTGGCAAACGCCCTCCCTCCCTCCGATCTCGGCGTGCCGAGGGTTTCTGAGTCGAAACCCTCCCTCCCCTTCCGCCCCCCTATCCCCTCCCAGTTTTTCTGGAATATAGTTCCACACAGAACCTGTTTGTCCGATGCAACTCGGACATACCGGTCGAGCTGACTTAAACAGTTTGGTCCAGCTTGAACCTTTGAAGGTTGGATTTTTTTTTTTTTTTTTTTTTTTGAGAATATCGCTTTTGACGAAAGTTCAAACAACCGAACCAAACTGCAGTTTGGTTTTTTTCTCATGTCATAAGGTAAGCCTCCTAACACGTGATGATATGGTCCTTCATATTGGGGGGTGTTCTTTATGGCTATGATGTCATAAATACTCCCTACTAAGCGATTCAAAGAGGATTTTTTTTTAGCATGTTCGATGTTGCCCATTTCCTTTTGTTGTAAGCATGTAAGAGGGAATGTATGCATCGCCCCACTTTTCACTGAGTTCTGACTTACTCCTTCCATCGCGTCTCGCGTTGCTCCCCTCCACTCCGCCTTGTGCTGTGCTCTGCTCGCCCATGTGAAAGCAGGCGTCTGGATCGCACCAATGTCTCAGGGACTATCCCACCATCCCTTGGAGGTCTTCTCTACTTGAAGAACTTGTAAGCTTTTATACCATGGCCGTGTCTGTTTCCCCATCCCTCGGGGACCCTCCCACCATCCATTCCGTTGTAACCCTTGTCTCTTTTGAGCATCCACATCCACATTGTACGCTTGGTTGGCTTCGAATGTTCAACCGTGCCTGGGGTCGATGCCGAATCCGAGGCTCCTCAAAATCCATGCATGAGATCGATGTGCCGATGGGCCACGGCATCAAACGATGCATGGCAGCCAGCACCTCAAAACAATTGAGAGCCACGGCTCGCCACCTCAGGTTACAACCAATTTTCTAAAATTGTCTCGTCACGCTGTTGTTCCTTCGCTTAAGCCTACTCATCGCGTGCAGCTCACTGAAAAATGTCTGAACTTTGCCCATCCAGCACCTCAAAACAATCGAGAGCCACGGCTCGCCACCCCTCTTTCCATACCAGCACCACCAAGGACACCAACCTCACATGTCCGGACAACTACACCAGCTGTGGGCAGACGCAAAACCCTTGGACTGCCTTTTGCCGCAAGTGCCCTTTCTTTTGCGAAACATGCCTCGAGTCAACAGGTGAGTGCAGCACTACTAACTACACGAAGAAAGAAAGAACGGAAGACACAACAGAAAATAATTCCCACTTTATGGTTTGCCGCATACAAGCACCCCCCCCTATACTAACCAGAGCAACTCAAAGAGGGCGCAAAACGATCAAGGAGATAAACCTTTAGTGAACTTCCTCTCCACTTTCGCACCGTTGATCTTCAGTTGCCTAGCTCAAGCAATCGTGTCAAGCTCAGTAGCCTCACATGCTCTCTGGCTCGCTTTTGTTTTTAATCTTGAGGCGCCTCATATGTCATTCTGAAGTCGCTCATGAAATTTCTCGACTGCATTGCAACTGTCGGCCCAAGCCTTGCCCGATTGACCTGACCTCTTCTGACGTTTCTGAGCTTGTTTCTGACGTTTCTGCTGCTTGTTTCTCTTACCTAAGGCCTGCATCTGACGTTTATGAGCTTCTGAGCTGCTTGTTCTTCTGAGCTGACTGCCTGGAATTGTTTGCCCAACCCCACCCTCCGGCACCACCTGCAGCGAACCCCAGCGATAGCAGCGGCTTACCGCTGGGGGCCATCATTGGCATTGTTGTTGCTTCCGTGGTGGTGGTGGTGCTGCTGCTGCTGGCTGCTGTGCTGCTCTGCCTCAGGCACAAGCAGCGGCAGAAGACAACAGGTGGGAAGAATTGATTGGTAAGACGTCGGGCTGAATGGATTGGTGAAGGAGAAAGAAAGCTTTGGTGAAGGAGAACAGCAGCAAGTACATGGCTGATTGGGTCCAACAAAGAAATTAAAGAAGGTTTGTCAGTGGAATCTGCCAATATCTCTAACTGATGGATATTGGAGATTGTGAGCTATCGCATTTGAGGTTGAGATTCACATCTCGTGCGCACAAGAACCAGTATAAGCACAAAAGTTACTACAAAACCAGAAAAACGAATGAATGTATTCAATGTTGTTTTCTTTCTTGTGTGTGTACACCTGCGTGCGTGTGGGCTTGGGTTTGTGGGCGTGCATGTGTGTGTGCATGGGCGTGTGTGTGTGTGTGTGTGTGTGTGTGTGCGTGCGTGCGTGCGTGCGTGCGTGCGTGGGTGTGGGTGTGTGTGCGTGCATGTGTGTGTGCATGGGCGTGTGTGTGTGTGTGTGTGTGTGCGCGCGCGCTTTACCCCTCACACCTCAAACCTCACCCGTCACCTCACCCCTCCCCCCCTCTCACCCTCACCCTCACCCTGCACCCCCACCCCTCACCCTACCCCCCACCCCACAAGCAGCCTTAAACAGCACCGAGTTTTCTCTCTCTGAGGTTGAAGCAGCCACCAGCAACTGGTCTGCGGACAACCAGCTAGGCTCGGGGGCCTTTGGTGACGTGTACAAGGGGGTGTCGCCGCGCGATGGTGTCACTGAGTGGGCTGTGAAGCGCGCCAAGCTGATCGACGTGGACTTCCAGTGGGAGGTGGGTGACTTGTGTGGGTTATGGTGCATGTGTCCTTCTGAGTCGACTCAAAAGACGTGGGGTATGGTGCATGTGCCCACATATACTTTAAATATATGCATGCGTGTGACGTGATGGCGCTGTTGAGTGGGCTGTCTGTGAAGCGCGCCATGCTGATAGATGTTGTCTTCCAACGGGAGGTGGGTGCATGTGTGTTACATCGAAGAAGCGGCTTCATCGTGCCCGTCATGTGGAACCCCGTCATGTGGAACCCCGTCATGTGGAACCCCGTCATGTGTGGAACCCCGTCATGTGTGGAACCCCGTCATGTGGAACCCCGTCATGTGTGGAACCCCGTCATGTGGAACCCCGTCATGTGGAACCCCGTCATGTGTGGAACCCCGTCATGTGGAACCCCGTCATGTGGAACCCCGTCATGTGGAACCCCGTCATGTGTGGAACCCCGTCATGTGGAACCCCGTCATGTGGAACCCCGTCATGTGTGGAACCCCGTCATGTGTGGAACCCCGTCATGTGTGGAACCCCGTCATGTGTGGAACCCCGTCATGTGGAACCCCGTCATGTGTGGAACCCCGTCATGTGTGGAACCCCGTCATGTGGAACCCCGTCATGTGGAACCCCGTCATGTGGAACCCCGTCATGTGGAACCCCGTCATGTGTGGAACCCCGTCATGTGTGGAACCCCGTCATGTGTGGAACCCCGTCATGTGTGGAACCCCGTCATGTGGAACCCCGTCATGTGGAACCCCGTCATGTGGAACCCCGTCATGTGGAACCCCGTCATGTGGAACCCCGTCATGTGTGGAACCCCGTCATGTGGAACCCCGTCATGTGGAACCCCGTCATGTGTGGAACCCCGTCATGTGGAACCCCGTCATGTGTGGAACCCCGTCATGTGTGGAACCCCGTCATGTGGAACCCCGTCATGTGGAACCCCGTCATGTGGAACCCCGTCATGTGGAACCCCGTCATGTGGAACCCCGTCATGTGTGGAACCCCGTCAGTGTGGAACCCCGTCATGTGTGGAACCCCGTCATGTGTGGAACCCCGTCATGTGGAACCCCGTCATGTGGAACCCCGTCATGTGGAACCCCGTCATGTGGAACCCCGTCATGTGTGGAACCCCGTCATGTGGAACCCCGTCATGTGGAACCCCGTCATGTGGAACCCGTCATGTGGAACCCCGTCATGTGGAACCCCGTCATGTGGAACCCCGTCATGTGTGGAACCCCGTCATGTGGAACCCCGTCATGTGGAACCCCGTCATGTGGAACCCCGTCATGTGTGGAACCCCGTCATGTGGAACCCCGTCATGTGGAACCCCGTCATGTGGAACCCCGTCATGTGTGGAACCCCGTCATGTGGAACCCCGTCATGTGGAACCCCGTCATGTGTGGAACCCCGTCATGTGTGGAACCCCGTCATGTGTGGAACCCCGTCATGTGTGGAACCCCGTCATGTGGAACCCCGTCATGTGTGGAACCCCGTCATGTGGAACCCCGTCATGTGGAACCCCGTCATGTGGAACCCCGTCATGTGGAACCCCGTCATGTGGAACCCCGTCATGTGTGGAACCCCGTCATGTGTGGAACCCCGTCATGTGTGGAACCCCGTCATGTGTGGAACCCCGTCATGTGTGGAACCCCGTCATGTGGAACCCCGTCATGTGGAACCCCGTCATGTGTGGAACCCCGTCATGTGGAACCCCGTCATGTGGAACCCCGTCATGTGTGGAACCCCGTCATGTGGAACCCCGTCATGTGTGGAACCCCGTCATGTGTGGAACCCCGTCATGTGGAACCCCGTCATGTGGAACCCCGTCATGTGGAACCCCGTCATGTGGAACCCCGTCATGTGGAACCCCGTCATGTGTGGAACCCCGTCATGTGTGGAACCCCGTCATGTGTGGAACCCCGTCATGTGTGGAACCCCGTCATGTGGAACCCCGTCATGTGTGGAACCCCGTCATGTGGAACCCCGTCATGTGGAACCCCGTCATGTGTGGAACCCCGTCATGTGGAACCCCGTCATGTGGAACCCCGTCATGTGGAACCCCGTCATGTGTGGAACCCCGTCATGTGGAACCCCGTCATGTGGAACCCCGTCATGTGTGGAACCCCGTCATGTGGAACCCCGTCATGTGTGGAACCCCGTCATGTGTGGAACCCCGTCATGTGTGAACCCCGTCATGTGTGAACCCCGTCATGTGTGGAACCCCGTCATGTGTGGAACCCCGTCATGTGGAACCCCGTCATGTGGAACCCCGTCATGTGGAACCCCGTCATGTGGAACCCCGTCATGTGGAACCCCGTCATGTGTGGAACCCCGTCATGTGTGGAACCCCGTCATGTGTGGAACCCCGTCATGTGTGGAACCCCGTCATGTGGAACCCCGTCATGTGGAACCCCGTCATGTGGAACCCCGTCATGTGTGGAACCCCGTCATGTGGAACCCCGTCATGTGGAACCCCGTCATGTGTGGAACCCCGTCATGTGGAACCCCGTCATGTGTGGAACCCCGTCATGTGTGGAACCCCGTCATGTGGAACCCCGTCATGTGGAACCCCGTCATGTGGAACCCCGTCATGTGGAACCCCGTCATGTGGAACCCCGTCATGTGTGGAACCCCGTCATGTGTGGAACCCCGTCATGTGTGGAACCCCGTCATGTGTGGAACCCCGTCATGTGTGGAACCCCGTCATGTGTGAACCCCGTCATGTGGAACCCCGTCATGTGTGGAACCCCGTCATGTGGAACCCCGTCATGTGGAACCCCGTCATGTGTGGAACCCCGTCATGTGGAACCCCGTCATGTGGAACCCCGTCATGTGGAACCCCGTCATGTGTGGAACCCCGTCATGTGGAACCCCGTCATGTGGAACCCCGTCATGTGTGGAACCCCGTCATGTGGAACCCCGTCATGTGGAACCCCGTCATGTGGAACCCCGTCATGTGTGGAACCCCGTCATGTGGAACCCCGTCATGTGGAACCCCGTCATGTGTGGAACCCCGTCATGTGTGGAACCCCGTCATGTGTGGAACCCCGTCATGTGTGGAACCCCGTCATGTGGAACCCCGTCATGTGTGGAACCCCGTCATGTGTGGAACCCCGTCATGTGGAACCCCGTCATGTGGAACCCCGTCATGTGGAACCCCGTCATGTGGAACCCCGTCATGTGTGGAACCCCGTCATGTGTGGAACCCCGTCATGTGTGGAACCCCGTCATGTGTGGAACCCCGTCATGTGGAACCCCGTCATGTGGAACCCCGTCATGTGGAACCCCGTCATGTGTGGAACCCCGTCATGTGGAACCCCGTCATGTGGAACCCCGTCATGTGTGGAACCCCGTCATGTGGAACCCCGTCATGTGTGGAACCCCGTCATGTGTGGAACCCCGTCATGTGGAACCCCGTCATGTGGAACCCCGTCATGTGGAACCCCGTCATGTGGAACCCCGTCATGTGGAACCCCGTCATGTGTGGAACCCCGTCATGTGTGGAACCCCGTCATGTGTGGAACCCCGTCATGTGTGGAACCCCGTCATGTGGAACCCCGTCATGTGTGGAACCCCGTCATGTGGAACCCCGTCATGTGGAACCCCGTCATGTGTGGAACCCCGTCATGTGGAACCCCGTCATGTGGAACCCCGTCATGTGGAACCCCGTCATGTGTGGAACCCCGTCATGTGGAACCCCGTCATGTGGAACCCCGTCATGTGTGGAACCCCGTCATGTGGAACCCCGTCATGTGGAACCCCGTCATGTGGAACCCCGTCATGTGTGGAACCCCGTCATGTGGAACCCCGTCATGTGGAACCCCGTCATGTGTGGAACCCCGTCATGTGTGGAACCCCGTCATGTGTGGAACCCCGTCATGTGTGGAACCCCGTCATGTGGAACCCCGTCATGTGGAACCCCGTCATGTGGAACCCCGTCATGTGGAACCCCGTCATGTGGAACCCCGTCATGTGTGGAACCCCGTCATGTGGAACCCCGTCATGTGGAACCCCGTCATGTGTGGAACCCCGTCATGTGGAACCCCGTCATGTGGAACCCCGTCATGTGGAACCCCGTCATGTGGAACCCCGTCATGTGTGGAACCCCGTCATGTGTGGAACCCCGTCATGTGTGGAACCCCGTCATGTGGAACCCCGTCATGTGGAACCCCGTCATGTGTGGAACCCCGTCATGTGTGGAACCCCGTCATGTGTGGAACCCCGTCATG